AATATAAATAATTGTGTAACGATCGACGTTACAGTTGTACCACATCAGCCAATCAAAACGACTTTCCATCATGCTTAACACGTGATTGTGATTTTAAACGAAAAATCTGTGTAACATATATCGAGCAAACATTCGTTACGACAAGAGCAGCTTATTATTGATAATATTGTCATGCAAAGGTTTATCGCCTGCCCAAGTGGCCTAAAACGACTAACCTCTCTTACTCCGAGAGGAAAAGGTATTACTAAGCATAGGCACTAAAATTTAGTGTATAAAGCAAAATAGTCTAATTAGTGGACAGCTCACATTTGTGCATGAATTTACATTCCAAGGAATTCGTGCTTTCAGTCTTAATGTTCCAAGAAATCAACAAGTAGAAGTGTTTGTGGATGGAAATCCAGTAAAGATTGACCAAGGAAGTGCCGTTATTCAAGCCTGTGAAAAAGCTGGTTATACGATACCTCGCTTTTGTTATCATGAGGTTGGTAATAATGTCCTGAATTATAATTTTGAAATTACAAAATAATTGATTTTTTTTTTGAATTGGACAAACCAGCGGCTATCTGTTGCTGGTAATTGTCGAATGTGTCTTGTTGAATTAGAGAGGTCACCAAAACCTATTGCCTCGTGCGCAATGCCTGTAATGCCTGGGATGAAGATTAAAACTGATACTCCACTAGTAAAAAAAGCTCGTGAAGGTGTCATGGAATTCCTCCTGGCAAATCATCCGCTGGACTGTCCGATATGCGACCAAGGTGGTGAATGCGATTTGCAAGATCAATCAGTAAGAGACGGTAGTGACCGAGGTAGCTTTCATGAAATGACCGGAAAACGAGCAGTGGAAGACAAAAATCTTGGACCTTTAATAAAGACATCCATGAATAGATGTATTCATTGTACACGTTGCGTACGGTTTGCTAATGAAGTCGCTGGTGTTCCTGAATTAGGCTCAACCGGCAGGGGCAGTGAAATGCAAATAAGCACGTATATTGAACGTACATTGGACTCCGAAATGTCAGCCAATGTCATTGATTTATGTCCTGTTGGCGCTTTAACTGCCAAACCCTATGCATTTTCATATCGTTCTTGGGAATTGAAAGGTACTGAAACAATTGATGTCCTAGACGCTATCGGTAGCAATATTAGAGACGATTCCCGCGGAGTGGAGGTCATGCGCGTTCTGCCTAGAATTAACGATGAAGTAAATGAAGAATGGATTTCTGATAAAACGAGATTTGCATTTGATGGACTTAAAAGACAGCGACTTACTACACCATTGGTTAGACAAGGAGATAAATTTATTCCTGTAACATGGGAAGAAGCATTGTCACGTGTGGCAAAAGAAATTCATAAAGTTTCAAAGACCGAAGCTAAAGCGATTGCTGGACAACTTGTAGATGTAGAAAGTTTAATCGCGCTCAAGGATCTGTTCAACAGCTTTGGTAGTGATAATTTCGCTCTTGATAGTCCTAATGGCTCTAAGATACCTATTCATGGTGTTGATTTCAGATCCAATTACTTATTGAACAGCAAAATTACCGGAGTTGAAAAAGCTGACGTACTTTTATTGGTTGGTACAAATCCACGCCATGAAGGTCCAATTCTTAATGCAAGAATTCTAAAAAGCTATCTAAACAATGGTCTAGATATTGGACTTGTAGGTTATGCGGCAGATACAACTTATGAATACGATCATATTGGCACAACCAGTAAAGCACTCGATAGTATACTGAATGATACACATCCATTTGCTAAAAGGATCTCTGAAGCTCAGAGACCGTTGATTATAGTTGGTAGTGGAGTCCTAGACAATCCTGATGAAGCATATATATTCTCTGCTGTAGCTAAAATAGTTAATAAGCACAAAACAAAATTTTTCCAAGATGGATGGAACGGATATAACGTACTTCAAAGGGTTCGTATATATGATTTGTTGCATTAATGATCATGTGTGATGTGATGTGATTTATAATTTTAATCATTTTATTTAGGCTGTTGGTCATCCCGCCGCTTATGATATTGGATTTATACCTTCTCATGAAGCAGCCCAAACAACACCAAGATTCATTTACTTGTTAGGAGCAGATGAAATTAGACCTCAAGATATTCCAAAAGATGCATTCGTAGTATATCAGGGGCATCATGGTGATGTAGGAGCTAGTTATGCTGATATCATTCTTCCTGGAGCAGCTTATACAGAAAAGAGTGCTACGTATTTAAACACCGAAGGTCGCGCACAGCTTGCTCGAGCTGTGATACCTCCTCCAGGTGCTTCACGTGAAGATTGGAAGGTATGTTTTGAGGTTATAAATTAATTTCTAATGCCCAAGGTCAGTAGCTGAAAAGCTTGTTTTACTAGATTATCCGTGCTTTGTCAGAAGTTGCTGGATTCACATTACCATACGATGATCTTCCTTCTCTCCGCGATCGCATGAATGACATCGCACCACATCTTGTCCGTTATGGTGTAGTTGAGGACACCAGTAACTCACAATTGGGTATTGAACATCTCTCGAAATTAGCGGTAAATTCATCTGATGCTAAATTAAATCCTATAATCCAAGATTTTTATATGACAAACAGCATTTCTCGAGCCAGTCAGACTATGGCCAAGTGCTCTGTTGCCTTCACAAAAAAGAAATCTGAACTTCAATCACAAACATATAGTTAATTGCATAAAGTTTGTTGCATAATATTTGTATTTAGGCAAATGTATAGAAATTAGAATTTATATTTTTGGTATTTAAGTTCAAAATATGTTCTGCATATCTGTTTACTTTGAATTATATGAGGAACAACTTTCGAATTAGGTACATATGAGGGTAACAGCGTATTTATAACCATTCGGCGTAAAAGGTAAGATATGTCAAATTCTGTGAACCTATTGTAATATTTTGTGGCGACAAGGCCAAATTCTAGATGGGAGATTTTGTTTTAGTTCTGGACAAATGATCCACGAACCCTAACCGGAACCAACTGGCTCATAATTCCGAGTGACGATTATAAAATAGTGTCTTGCAAAAAATCCGGGTCCGCGAATTCGGATTCGCATAGAAGATCCGGACCGTCATTATTCTAAAAAATTGTTCATGACTGAATTGATAAGTTACCTATTTCAAAATAGATAAATTACAATTACTGGAAGTTGAGAAAGCGGTTTTGAAAATAAAAAAAAAACCTTGTTGAGGTTTGGCCAACATCGGAAACTTATCGATTTAGTTATAAATTTGAATCGGGTCTGATCAATTTTATCGATTTTTCGGATAGAACATAGATAGCCTTTGAAAATATTCGTCAGATCCGATTCGACGAAGCAATCTTGCAGTCACCAGTTATGTAAGCGGCTTGAATCGAGTCTCGTGCATAGGGCTAAGTCGGGCCGACTGGCTCGGCAACGGTATCGACTAGCAAGCTTATTACATAATCAATACCGAAAATAAGCACCAAAATTCTTGTGGTCTGGTGATCTGCACGGTTCTACTCCGAAATCCCGACATACGTAGTCCTGATAAAGACAGAATCTCGAGATTTTGTATATCGGGATTATGTACTGTCGGGGATTTCGGGAATTTTGGCTTAAAAATTGTACGGGATGCTTATTTTCGTAATTAATATTAGACTTTCGCGTACTATGTTATGACTATTAGAATAACATAAATAACATATCAAACTATATATATATAGTAATATTATAACTATATACTTTATACTAACTAGTATACACTCGCACCTCTCTAAGTGCTCGCCCTCGGGACCATAGTAAAATGCCACTTAGGAGGGGTTAAAATTTATAATCGATGTATTATTTGGGACCAAAAAGGGTCTGCACTTAGAGGAGTTTTTCATATACCGTGCACTTAGGGTGTGTGCACTTAGACTTAGGGGGCGACTGTATATACTGTATATATACGTATTTATGTATTATTTCTCCATTAGACTATATACTATATACTGTATTACAGTATATATAATTAACTTTAATATATACTGTATATATACTGTATATAAAAAAAGCTTTTCCAAGTTATACGTACGTATTTAACAATTCAAATGAGTATTATAATTTTAAATATTACTAAAAATAAAATATAAATACAGTAAATCTAAATCTATTTGTAACTTAGTGTTAGGGTTAGTGTTAGGTTAGGTTTAGAGTTAATGTCAGGATTATTACAAAATTGCGAGAGGATCATTTTTCACTAGTAGTGTTACAAAGCAGATTGTAATACAACGTAACACTAGCATAGTGTAGATTATAGTTCATTATTTATATATACAGTATTAGTTATATTTATTTAGTATTAGTTATTATTATAGTTATATTTATTAGTATAGTATTAGTTTTTTTTTTTTTTT